GGTCTGACTTTAACACAAATTGTGGGTGTGTTTCTCTGTTGCATTTCTTGTTCAAACATGTTTGTTCTTCATTTAGTGAAGTTACTTATGYTGGGTAGAGTATTCAGAAATTTACTAAAGAGTAGCAACACTTCGTAATAATATTACTCAAGTAAAGCATAGTGTGATAAAACTACTCACAAAAGAATATTTTTTTCTGAAAAAAATACTCAAGTGAATGTAATTGAGTAAATGTAACTAGTTACTACCCAAATACTGAGCTAAACTTTGATGTGGTAGTAATGGAGAGTCATCATCAACACATATTCTGAGTGCAAACAGGTCACACAAGATCTTTGTTTCAAACTTTGGCATATAATTTAGTCGGTGATATACAGAGGTTAATAGTAACTAAATATATTATCGGATATCCCATGGTATATTTACGTTGTTACAGTAATTTTTTGGAGGATTTGTAATTTTGCGAAGTATTTGGGTTTTTTTTACTTTTATTTCATTACATTTAAAATCTAAAATTGGTACTTTTACTTCTTTACTTTAAAATTTAACACCTAATTACTTGTTACAAAATGAAATATGTCATCATGAAAGGAGTTGATTATGCGCTCTGAAAAATGAAGTGTTGAATTTACTCAATCAAGTTATGTCAACAGGTTCCACTAAACCCAGCAGAGTAAATATGAGGCAATACACAAKTTTCCTCAACATGGTTTAGTGGAACCAGTTTAGTTAAGTAAATTCAGCAGTTTATTTCTTAGAGAGTGTGTAAAAYTACTTTTACTTTTTCAATTTTTGTGAACATTTTTACCACTTTTACTTAAGTACTTTTCTCATCAGAGAAATTTATTTTTACCAAAGTCATTTTCTGTTAAGGTAATGTTACTTTTATTTTTTAAGTACGGTATAGACCTCTGATATGCATTCCTTTATGGAACGTTTTTATTTTCTTATGTGTATAATTATTTTGCCACTTTGTCTGCCTTTACATAATTGCATTTGAATTCTTCTCATCCATCTACATAAAACAATTGTTAGTATTAAATTTTTATTCTTGAAAAATGAATATATCAGCTGCCTGGAAATGAAACTAACTTAACACAGAAGTACACCTGAGTGCGCTGTAAAAG